ATCCTATTAACTTCACTGGGTTTTGGATCAGGTGCTTATCGCAGAAAAAGCAGAGAGTAATACAATCTGATGGTTAAACTCCAAATACCCTGCCTCAAACAGTGTAACTGAGTTGAATAACTGCATGTTTATTATTATGCCATATGCTGAGATATTAGCATAACTAAAAACATGGGGGAGAAATGTCATACACACACCCACACACCTATGCAAATATAATTATAATTTCTGTCTACATTTCACAATATACCTTTATGGAAAACATTGTATTACCTACTTTATCTTAGAACATTTGGCTTGTTTAGCTATTTAAAAAATCAGATAGCTAGCCAGGACTGCTACTGCCATGCTCCTGAACCATATACATCTATCCCACTACCTGCAAGTTGTGCATATAGCTCATTCAGGCAAGTATGTATTCCTAGGACTGTTATCTTTTGCTCTCTGACTTAGCCTTTCTGTTTGTTACCTCTACTTGTGTCTGTTCTGAATTTGTTGTGCAGACGTCCACACAGGGAGCTGCTTACAGGATTGGGCCCTTAGACTGGGAGAAGGAATTGTTTCCTCCTTATATCAGGAAAGTGTCTAACACAAGAGGGCCTCCAATTGATTTGGAGCTCTAGCCACTAGTGCAAGATAAGAAATAGCAAATCCATCAGAAAATGCTGCAGTTCATTTTCTTTAAGGAGGGAAAGCTCTTCCAGGCTCTAGACATTCTGCACTAATATATATTATTAATTATACATGCAAAACATAGGGGCTGATCAAGGTATCTTCTTTATCTGCCTCTGACACTTCTAAGAATTATAAAGTAAAAAATCTAGTTCAGGTGATCAGGGTGATTATTGAAGAATACTTGTTAGACGCAGGATAATCTGAAGTATGTGTAAACTACATTCACTTGTTAAATGTTTGGTTTTGTGTCCTGAAATAAGCCTACTTATACTAATTCAAACTTGAACCATAGATCCACCGGGTCTGTCCTCAGTTATCCCAGCCAGTATCCATAATAACTCCTTTGAAATCAATGAAGTTACATCACTAGGATCAGAATCAGACCCATGAAGTTGAGCAGTGTGCAATACACACAGAATTGGGCAGGGGTGCTGCAATGTGATGGCTTGCAATATTGCTCTACACAGTGCCCTCAGATGTGCAGAGATGCCAGTCACCACCCCTCCGAGGCAGGGAATGAGACAGAGACAGGAAAACCTGACACTCCTGGATTTGTGTGAAAAATTCTCAAAGAAAAATTCTTTCTCTCCCTCCGGCCCCTAAACTCTTTGTGAATGGGGCCAGTGCAACATGTGGCCTTTCACCCCGCCCAAGCACCATTGCCAGACAGCCACACTCAGAGAATTGTTTGTTAATAGTCCAATTAGATAATTGCCATCTTTCACTCCTTTTGCTCTACATTTCCCATAAAGGAATGAATAAGGAGAGCAGCATGAAGAGGGCTTCTGCCCTGCAAGGTGACAAGAAGGGCTGGAGCATGCTCTTTGCACAAGGCCATTTGCTTGAATTGAATCATTGTAGCCTAATCAATGGTCTTATTGGATTACTGGCTGTTGCGGTTCTCAAAGATATTGTAGCAGAGACAATGAAATAGCCAGGGTAAAACTTTTTTTTTTTTTTTTATCCTTTAGTAGATCACGTAGTGGAGATTTTTCACGAGTTATCTCTCTCTCCCTCTCTCCCCTCCTGGATCTATCTGAACACAAAGCTGGCTTTTTTTTTTCTTTCAATGAGCAGTCTCTACCAATAGGTTCAGTGTTTGTGAAGGTGCAGAATTAGCGCACACACACACACAAAAAGCAAGCCTCTGAACTGAATTAAGGAGAGGTAGGAGTTTAAGATGGCTGGCCGTGGAGAGATGTGTTAAGGAGGATTTCTGCAGGGCTGATCCTCGGCTTCCTTGGATAGCCCCACTTCAAGGGAAAACTTTTTGTGCGGGGAGTGGTTTGTTTGCTTACACTCAAGGCTGCTTTTCTACAACTGCGTTTTCCAGCCTTTTCCTAGCAGTTTTATTCAGATTTATTTGGCGTGCCTGGAGAAAGCCACTCTATAATCTGGAGGGTCAAAGGCAGACTGAAGAAAGTTAATAATGGCGGCTAATGGTGCTAACAATTCAGGGTGAATCTTGTCAAAAGTTTTTTCTTCCCCCTCCCCTCCTTCTGGAAGTCTGTCTTTTGATTGTGTGTTTCCTGAAAGCAAGACCAATCATTTCAGTTTATTCACTGGCTAAACTCTACTTGATTGGGGACAAGCACACAAACCATCCATTACGATCTGATATATTATCCAAACAATTTAGTGTATTCATGAGGTAACCTAAATGTGGAGGCTGCAAAATTACCCGTAATCAATTGAAACAGCGAGTGCGCGTCCCTCTGTGTCTAACAACTACATGTCTCTGTAATAAGGCAGACATTAAATCATTTTGGAGTTGTACTGTTGAGTACCTGATCACTGGGGCTCAGGAAAGCTGGACAGTCACATTAGGAAGCTGGGATTCGAGGGAGCTGTTCTGTTGGGATCAGAGTCGACCTTCCTCGCGAGAGGTGCTTTACAGATTCCCACCGATCTGACCGCAGGCTGTGCAATATCCAACCTAGACTTTCTTTTCTTTTCTTCTTTTTTTTTTTATTGCACTACATGTTTGGGAAACAAGACAAAATGGACGTTAGATGCAATTCAGAGGCTGAAGCTAACCGGGTCTCGAAGAACGGACATAAAGAGGGCAAGGAAAGCAAAGGGTCTGAAGGAAATATTTCTACTTCTTTTTTGAAGGATCAGCAAGGGACTTATTCTGCCTCTGCGGTTTCGGAAGATTGTAATAAAAGTAAATCTAGTTCTGCAGACCCGGACTATTGCAGGAGGATCCTAGTTAGAGGTAGGAGTTCGGAAGGCATTGTGTGTGTCTGTTTGTGTGTATGTGAAATCGGTATTCGCCTCGTCTTCTTTTTTTTAAATGTTAGGGTTTCAAGATGTCCCCTTTTTAATATGGTTGCAGAAGGGGAAACACCGTTGTGAATTATAATGCAGTATTTCCAGGGGCAAATGATTCTAAGTCCACAGAGTGTTTTATAGGGTTTGATTTTTTTTGTATCTTATTTTATTAATGTACTTCTATGGTTCATTGGAAAAGTTTGCATTACATTTGTGTTCCACTTTTTCTCGGTGGCCGTGAAATACATTATTTGCATCCTTTTTTTCATTCGCCATAGAGTTTCCAAACCCGTGTCCTCTTATACACAGAGCATTGCAGGTGTCAAAGTTCCCATCACAAGGGCTAACGGTATGTCAGAGTAATTTTGATCAAGGCAATGAATAAACAGCACTCGCTGTGTATTTTTTTGGTAACCCCCTCCGATTCCGTCTACCACGTGAAAGTCCTGGTTTAGCTGGTTCTGCACACCTTGGACACTGGAAAGGAGGAACTTTGATAAGAGAAGGCATTTTACCTTTGCATCTTGGTGCATTTGTGGTGATTGTAGTTTTGGTTGGATTTTTTTATTTGGTGGAGGGGATATATATACGATGTAGGAGGTTTCTGCCATGCCCTCTGTCCCAATGTCCCTAATGTGATGTAGAATTGACCGGCTTTGACTGTAGAATTATTTATAAATGATGACCATTCACAGAGCTTTAAAAAGAAGACAGTAGGACTGAATTGGGTTTCTGAATATTTACTGTTTTTTTAAATTTCCCCTCCTCCCCTTCTTTCCCAGTCCACTAATGAAATGATTTTAGAGTGCTTTGAAGAAATTACCAGTGGAAATTACAGTTTTGTGAAGGTGTGTGTGAAAGAGGGGATAGAATTATAATAAAATTAGTGTAAAGCAGGCCTTGTAAACAATAATTAATCCTTGCGCGACCGATTGACCCCAGAGAGGGGTCAGATTGAAATTATGTGGTTATCTATGATTTAAAGTGTATTATGGAGCTAAAATTACGGAAAGCGAGGTTGGGGAATGCTTTAATGTAATATGAATCTAGCTCTAGCATGACAGTTGTGCTAATAAGATTTGTCCTGCTTTCTTTAGGCCGGTGCTAAAATAAAGGAGAGGTTTCTGTGTGCGTGTTAGGGTTTTTCCCCCCTCTCCCGCGCCTGTATTTTTAAATAGTAAAGAAACGGCCATAAATTTGCCCATCCCATGCACTAGGTGCCGTTACATCTAACAATGTTGTAAGCTCGAAAGGAAACTGCGTAACAATAACCCAGCAATCCCAAAGAATAACTCTACAGGGTACAAACGGACTGAGCAGGGCACAGAACGATGGTGTTTCTTACAGCACTGAGCTGTCTCAGTGAAACGGCCTTCGAAAGGAAGTTGGTCTGGGAGGATTGGGGACAGGATCTCTCCGGGCCCCTACAACGCCCTGATTTTACCAGCCTGTCTGCTGCCTGGTTTACCGAAGCGGCCTGGCTGTGGGAGAGGAAAGTGAGCTGCAAAGCATGCCAGGCAGCTCCTTGCCTTGCGCGCAAACGGTTCCTCTCCTGGGTGTAAAGTGACTGCGCGTTTCTTTGCCAGATGCCAAAGGTTCAATAAGAGAGATTATTCTGCCTAAAGGACTTGATTTGGACCGCCCCAAACGGACCCGAACGTCCTTCACGGCGGAGCAGCTGTACCGGCTGGAGATGGAGTTCCAGAGGTGCCAGTACGTGGTGGGACGGGAAAGGACCGAACTCGCTCGGCAGCTCAATCTTTCGGAAACTCAGGTAGTGCGGAGACAGCCCATTGAGAAACACGCTGCTAGGCACCGCGGAGGCCTGCCCCCCACCCCCCTTCCCGAGGCACACCGGGACACAGACACGCTCTAGTGAGACAGTGCACATCAACACCTGCTCACAAGCACTAAACCAGCGGTTCCCAACCTTTCCCAGAGGGGAACCCATTTTCACAATTCAGGGAGACTTGGTGACCCAAGGCAATTCAAAAACGGGGGAGGAGGGACGGCAGAGCCACCTGGGGAGACACTTGGCGACCCTTTTGAAATGTAATGGCCGGACCCATAGGTTGGGAAACCCTGCACTAGTGCGAGCCCACCGCTTGGCTAGTCCAGGCCTCGTGGCCAGACTCAACCGCGCCGTGAGTAGCAACGTATTTCCCCACACACAACCACCATGGTCTCTGAATAGTCAACCCCAGACACAACCTGACTCCCAGGCTTACTCGCACACACAGCTGCCTGGTGCCTGGAAGAAAATAAAGGGTGTTTAAAGTAGCTGGCAACTTGGTTTGGTCAAAAAATCAGAGCTACAGAAGGGTGCAAACCTCTTCCGGAAGCCGTGAAGGCGAGGAGCTCTCTGCTGAGACATTCAGTACACAGAGAGCAAAATGAGCATTAGCAGAATGGGGCTTAGAGGGGAGAAAAGTTGCTTTCAAAATATGTGGCATTGAATTCCCGGCTGGGAAGTGGGGGTGGAAGGTGTCCGGGTTTGAAAGGCAATCCGCTGGAAGCAGGGCAAATCACCTTTCCTAACACAAGTCCTCCTGCCAGGCAGCTGTCACGGTTTGCACAGCTCTCCTGCTTTCCGTGAATTGTTGGGTGGGTGTGAATCAAGTTATGCCCTTTTCATCAGTCTAAGAAAAGGCAACTACTAACAAGCATACGCAACAAATACGAAGACCCCAAATGATTTTCTATTAGATACATTTACTTCTCCCTCTAAAGCTTCTCGTTTGATTTTTGCCTGCTCGTGTGTCTTTACATTGATTGTTTAGTTGCGTGTGGGCTGTGTTTTTATAGAATCGCATGGGGAAAACCTGTCCCCGGGCAATTTGGATATGAATGGAGCTGGAATCGTGCTGCGTTAAAATTGTTGAATATACACATGTCGTATTTTTATTTCATTTTTACTTGGCGTGAGCGTTGGATGTTATCTTTACAAGTGAAAAACATATTTTAAAAAAGGATCTACCTCACAGGTATCAGGTCAGCCTTGGGCGATCTATTCTCACTTTTTAGAGAGAGGTTGGGGTTTTTTTCCGACCAGAACCTCTGATGCAAAATATAGTGGATAAGGGTAAGCCCAACTCCCTGTGTTGTTTAGAGCCGCCTGTTCTCTTCGTGCAGTGTATGGAACAATGTCTAGCTAGGAGGTGACATGGGGTCAAGTATTCTACGTGGGAAGAAAATACTGTACAGAAGATACACTGAGAAAATCTGGAGGGAAAAGTAATGTAATGAGACAGAGAAAAAATAATTAGCTGCTTTGGAGGAAAATCCCAATCACAAAACAGAAGCGGGCCTGACTTTTGTAAGGGCCTCTGATTTAGAACCATCTTCTCTGATGCATTTATCTTTCATCCCTACCTCGTATTAAATTGAACAGGCTGGTAGGTAACTGCAAAGGTTCTGCCCTGTTTGACTGCGACGCTTTGTTTTGGTGGCGAGGGCGGAGTTCCTGACAGGACGGTGAGGAGAGCGCACTGTGGACATGGGCAGGGCGCAGGGGGTCTGTCGGCCCCGCTAGAACAACTAAAAAGTGGCCGGGAGGGGGGAGGACTCCACCGTCATGGGGACAGAGCACACTTCTAGGGACGGGCTGGGTGTGCGGTTCCACGGCCACCGCGCGTAATACAGCCCTGCTCCGCCAAGCCAAGGGGCCTTCCTTGGCGGTCGGGCAGGCTGCAGAAATGTAGCTCGCGTCTCTTTTCGTTGTGTAACATTGTAAAGGGGAGGAGGGGGCTCGAACCGGCTGTGGGGAAAGTGGCCTTCAGCGGCGCCAGGCCTTCCTTTGGCCCGCCCGGAAGCGCGAGGGGAGAGCCCCCGCTAGACCGGGGTGAGAGCTTCGAGTCCCTGCTGCCCCGGAGGGAGGAGGGAGAGGAGCCATGTGCAGGCCCCACTCCCCAAGTGAGCAGCCTTGTGTTCCGGCCGGGTGGGTGGCACCGGCTCTAGCTGGGGTGGCCGGTTAAAAGGAAACCCAGTTAAAGAGCCGGCTCCTGCCAGGGCCACTGCAGGAGCAGAGAAGCCGGGACACGCGGCTCCCGCAGCCCGAGCTCATTCAGCAGCATTTGCCCCCGTGGGAAAACGTGCTGCCGAACCGGGGCCCTCCCCCCCCTTCGCTCCAGACTCTCCCGACGCCGTGTAAACCGCTAATTCGGAGCGGTCCCGCCGGCGTTCGTTGTCTGGGGGCGGGGGAGATGGAGAAATGCACTGGTCATCCCGCAGCCCCCGGGCCGGTCCCCCCCGCCCCGCTCACCCTGTGCCTCTCTCCCCGCCTCTGCAGGTAAAGGTCTGGTTCCAGAACAGGCGCACGAAACAGAAAAAGGACCAAGGCAAGGACTCGGAGCTGAGGTCCGTGGTGTCCGAGACCGCCGCCACCTGCAGCGTCCTGCGGCTCCTGGAGCAAGGCCGGCTGCTGTCCCCGCCCGGCCTGCCCGGCCTCCTGCCCCCCTGTGCCACCAGCGCCTTGGGCTCCGCGCTGCGGGCCCCCAGCCTCACCATCGGCACCACGGGCACCACCGGCTCGGGGCCCGCGGGCGGCTCCCCGCACCCCCCCGCGCCGAGCAGCGCGGCCGGCCCCCCCCAGGCTGCGGGACTCCACGCCTCGCCCAGCGCCGGCCACAACCTCTTCAGCCTGCCGGTGCCCACTCTCCTGGGCTCGGTGGCCAGCCGGCTGTCCTCCAATCCCTTGACAATGGCCGGCTCCTTGGCAGGAAACTTGCAGGAACTGTCCGCCAGGTACCTGAGCTCCTCTGCCTTCGAGCCCTACTCCAGGACCAACAATAAAGAAGGCGCTGAGAAAAAAGCCCTGGACGGACTCTAAGTAACGCTCTGTATTTCTATTTATAGTATCTATTTGTGGCGATATTTAGCACTAAACTGTGTTTAGGGGAGACATCCTGCCGAGGAGGCGGATACCCTACCCTAGTGTAGCCGCTAAACTAACTGCTTCCAGACCAAACAGTTAGCGATGGAGACCCACTTCTTACCGTGGGAGGATGTGATGGGGGGAGAGGCAGGGCTGGGGAGGTTTGCCGGCAGTTCAAAATCCAACATTTTTACTGCGCTCTGAATCCAACCTACGATGATCCACGTTTTTTATTTGGGGAAGGGATTGGGGGAGCAAAGGGGGGAGGGAATCTGAGACGGGGGAAGTTATTTGCAGTTTAATCATAACAATTTTGACTGCATTCTGAATTAAACCAATGCAAACCGACGCGGAAGTCGATTCAAACAAACAGACCTAGAAATGGAACCATCAGGTGGATGTAAATGTATGGTCAAGACGACAGTGACTCTAAAGCACAAATTTGCCCAAGGTTTTGTGGCCCCATGTAACCTGACTGCACTACATTAACCGTTTAGTAGCTTAGTTTTTATTTATAATTGCTCTTGACACAGATCTAAGCCAGAAAAAAACTACCAACTCTTTTTTTTTTAAAGAATCTTGACTATTTTAAGGATCGGAACAGACTGCCTTTAAAATACTTGCATTCGATGCAGATACAGAAAACAGTGGCTTTAGATATTTTAATAAAGCAATCTTTCACTTGGAGATAATGCAACGCCCCTTTTTTCTAGTTTCATGAGCTAGTTCTTCGAATCTAAAATTAATATTAAAATGTTGTAAAAGTAACTATGTTAAATAAGAGAAGTAACGGAGAGAGAAAGTGGCGTGATTGCATCTATACTTATCGAATTGGCAGTTATTTTTTTTTCTAATTGAGTTTCCAATACTTTCAAAGTGTATCCAAATGAAACTTCATTAGGTTCCCTCCCTCCATAACACTCTCGCGAATGACTTGCATTTTATTTAAAGTGAAAGTAAAATATAAAGAACCCATCTTTTTGTGTTTTACAATACATCTAAGTCGCCTTTTTGATCGTTCGCATATTTGTTACTGTTATTTTCTCCATCCACCAAGATGTTTATTCCAAACTCTAGCATTCTGGTCTATTTCATATTAAGTTTCAGTACTTGAATTTGTCAGAAAAAGAATTCTGTAGTTAGCGACTTCGTTTGTTTGTTTAGTTTTTCTTTCTTTAACCTTTAATATAAAGCCTTTACGAACTGTATAAAAACGTGCCACCAAATCTTAACCAAAAATAATTACAAAAAATGGAATGGTTGCTTGTAGTTTAGAGAATTAACTATAGAACAGAGATGGGAAGAGAGAAAGAGAGAGAGCAGGACGGAAAACAAAATAGTACTTTTATTGTGAATTATTTACGTCTGAAGTTTCTTAGACAACTAGTGGAGAAAA